TGCAAGAGATAACCAGTTTTTTATAATGTTTGATAAAAAAAAATTTGTCATTTTCCTTACCCCCCATGGCAGGAGAAAAAGTCAAGTTTTTCCTGCCCATCGCTCAATGGCTCAAACACATCGCTCTCTCTGCAAAACCGAAAGGAGGAGCAACTTGCCATTTGGATATATACTAGCTGTGTTTGTGCCCTCACTCATGGTCCAGACGTTTTTCAAAAAGGACATGGAGTTTGTCTGCAGCGAGCGTTTTGGTAGAAACTGCGCCTCTCATTCATTATAATGGTAAATGACCACAGACAAGTGCGCACACCATCTTTGGACCTTGAGTTTGACGCGATCGGGAGGGGGAGGCGGTTGCGCTGGGGGCGGCGCGACACGGCTCTGGCCCGCCAGTGCCCCAACGGGGCCCTAGTTACATTATGTCTTTTATACAGGCTAGATGTGACAGCCCATAGAGTACACAAGTGGGCAATGTATATGTAAATAGAAAGAAACAGGAACACGTAAATATTGCTTTAAACTGTAACTCAGTCTATCTATTATACCTGTACACACAATCAGGTATACAGCAATCTCACTACGTATAGAGCAGACAGTGACAGACCCTCATTTCAAAGGCAGGTTTTTGCAATAGGCTAATGATATCACCACCATGACCGGTTTCAGGGCTGTTTAAGGGAGGAGTGTCAGCACTGGGTTTATCAGCAGACAGATAGCGGGTGACAGCTGCCATTGGTAATTGATGACTTTCATAATTAAAATCCCTTATAGGGGGAACCCAAAGAACAAAAGAGAAAAAGTGATGAATGACCCTTTCATCTTTAAGGCTGATAGAAGGCACACCAGGCATGAATATTAGTTTCCAGGAAATTCTCTGAATATGGTTTCAGAGAAGGGCCTGGTGCTTTCAATAGTGCCAAAGCGTTTGTATGTGTGTGTATGTGATTGTGTGCTCAAAAATTTGACATATTATAAGGAAAATACAGGCTGGATATGATTGAACACAGGTGAGATACAAATCAGAGGATGAGGAGAGGTCACAGCATTGCAACATAAGTAATTCAGTTTATATTATAGCAGTAGAAGAGGGTGAGGGGGTTGGGGTCATTCTGGCTCAACAGTGTTTACTTTTGCTCAAGTTCCTGCTGTCAGCTGTGGTAGCCCTTACTGTTGGTGAGTGCCTCTTTAAATGTTACATTCCTGGAAGCTAGATGAACGCTGCTGCTATTGTTTACCTTATTTGTTGTATTTTGTCCCCCTATTTTTTGCTGGTTTGAAGCTCAAGCTTTAAAAGGAACATTTCAGCATAGATCGCAGTTTCAATTAATGAGGGTTAATTTCCACTTAACATTGTTTCAATCCCTCTGACCTTTTAATATTGTCTAAAGGCACTGTATACTCTGATCTTCCTGTAAAAATAAAGCATAACCTCAGATATTTTATTCACCTTCATTTTGTATCCTGCTCTATTCAGTTCTCACTCCCTGAGGGAAAACATGAACAGATCAGACAGGATGACTGCCAGTGATAGTCTGTGCTGCTGCAGTCTTTATAGAGAAAAAAGATGCAAGCCCATGAGTGCTGCATGAGTGAGAAAGACAGAGGAGGGCTGTGTGTGGATGAGAAAGATGGAGGAGGGCTGTTAGAGCACCAGCGACAAACAGGGAATTCCTGCACATCTGTCCTGATGCTGTATATATGTATGTGTGTGTGATGCTGTTGCTCCTCCTAACTTGCTAAATGGTCCCCTTCAACCTACCCACTACCACTTACTTCTCCCCCACCACATCAGGACGGGGCTACTGTGACATCACTCATTCCCACGTACTCTGATTGGCCAGCTGATGGAGGGAAGTAGACTGTTCCCACAGCCTACAGTGAGAAATTAAGTGTGAGAGAGAGAACGTGGGAGGGAGAGATCGAGGTAAAGAGTATGTTAGAGAGAAGAGGAGAGGGAGAAACAGACTAAGCAAGACAGCTCGATGCCGATGCTGCACTGCTCTCACTCACACTTACACACACACACACACACACACACACACACACACACACACACACACACACACACACACACAGAAACATTCTTTACATCACTCCCCAAGCTGCTTGTCAGGCAAGAAAACCACTGAGTCTGACTGAGTCTGCAGCCTGCTGCTGCCTAACAGGACAGAGGACAGCAAGAGCTAAAAAAAGAGCAACAATTTCAGTGCTGTCATCTCAGGAGGTCCTGTTGTCCAGTGGGCTTTTTGAAGAGACCTCCGCAGAAAGAAAGAAGGGGGAGAGGCAGCCCGGGTAGGAGCAAGGGCACGTGTTTTACTGTCCTCTGGAGGTTGAATGTCCTCCCAACGTCCCCATGAAAGCAGGCAGGAATCGAGGCGTACTCCGGTGTACAAGATGGCACGGCAAGCTGAAGGGGAAGGCTCCCCTAAAAAGAACAAATCCCTCAACCTGGTAATGCGGTTCTATCATTACCTCCGAGGTAAGTGGGACAGGGTATGCGTGAAAGTGCGTGCCATACTGTCTCTGAAAGCATGAGAAAACGGAGGCATGCATACACTGTGTGTACATTTTTGGAGGTGTAACGTGTGTGTAAGACTCAGCATGGCACTGCAGTATGGAGTGTAAATGCCTGCTGTATGTGAGGAAAGTGAGCATGTTGCAGTGTCATTTTCTCACTTCGTGTCCCCGCAGGAAAGATTCTATCTGACAGTGTGGTGTGGGATAAGCAAAATGAGCAGAAATTCGGAGGGGGCATTTCCACCTTTACAGAGAGTGTGTGTTTGTGAGTGTGTGTGAAAATGTTAGCGTACAGCAGATGAACAGACTAGTAGTAACTGCATGAGTGTGCCGCAGCACAGCAGGCAGACTGTCAAATTGTTTGATTTCTTATCTCTGCCTGACCCTTTGGCAGCCTGCTTGTCTACTCCTCTGTGTTTTATACCAAGCATTCAGCATTCTGTCTTACTGTTCGACATATAAGTTTAGTGAAAGCTACTCTAGCTTGCTGATTTTGCAGTTGTCTTCTGTAACTTCGGGTTTCTACAAGCAAATTATCAGAACAGCGGAATGGTTTCTTCGCTGTCTAATTGTACTTCCCTAATTTTGTGTCAATTTTTGATTCATTCTTATTTCATTTTATTCACAAAAAAATGCTTTTGAGACAAAAACTAGATTTAAATGATTTCTCATTAATGTCCTCTTCACTAACGGGGTTTAAAGTGGCAACCCGGGAGGCTGCGTACCAGACTAATAATGATACGGACCAACAGTAGCCAAGGAGGTAATCAAGTATTAAAATGCTGCTGCGAGGCTCAGTTACAGAGTGCGACCATTTCCATTGTGATATTGAAAGAATGTAAATGTGTGTGTGTGGGTGCATGTGTGTGGGCTTTAAGTGTGACTGTGTGTGTGTGCATAGTTCAAAGTCACCTCGTCCCTGAGACTGAGCGCATGGCACCGCATTCCCGCAGACATGTTCTCATCACACATGTTCTTGCTCAAGAAAGCAGGAAGTAAAATCTCTCTCAGTCTCATCCACTATTACTTCCCATCAATATTTGATCACTCTTGGACCCGAACAAAAAATGTATTCATAAGAAGGGGACCTGTTCAGTGGCACTTATGACTATGCCTGTATGTGTCTGCATTATGTATGAACATCCCCTCCCTCTTTAAGCCTCTCTGGTGCACACACCTTACCATGTGCATCTGCCTGCAGTACCCAGTAACACACTTACCAACTTGAGTGTGATCAAAGTGTCAGCATATTTCATTAAGGTAGAGGAAAGCACTGTGTCAGATGTCCGCTCTTGCTGATAATGCACATATCTCAAGGTTATTGCTGTGTGGCACAGACAGGACAGGAAAAAACATTGTGCTAGTCATTGTGCATGATTAGATATTTAGAGTCCCAGCTGGGCTATAGACCTTTTTTGTGCACATTGTAAGAGGATGGATGTGAGTGTTGCTCATGAATTTGTAAATTACGGATGTTACAAATGCTGAATTTTCAATTGGTTTTGCAAGGGCTGCAAGCATTACTAGATTTTGTTTTCAAAAACCACAGCATGAATACACTATCTCATGAATGTCTTTCCCTGTGTGTGCCAGTGTATTTATTTTCTATTTTCCTGTGCCTGTGATTGACAAAGCTTTATTTAAGTCCCTTTCTCATTCAAGTTAAGTGGGTTTTTGGGGGACATCATTAGCAGACATCTGTTATTGATTGTGCCTGTGTTAAATGGGCTTTATCACTGCAGCCACCACAAACAATGCCCTTCCCTATATCTGTACATTTAGTCAAAGGTTGGTTTTATGTTACAGAGTATGATGTAGAGTATTTAAGCAGTAGATTGCACACTTAAACCGAGTCAAAAATGAATACAATCCTCTCATAGATCATAGCAAGAGCAAGCTGTCATCATATAGAACAACGCTTCTCTTACCATATCATTGTCAGGTATGATATGATTGAGAGTGCACAGACACGTTGGACTGCAAGTAATAATATCAAAGTTAATTAAAGTCACCGGCCAGCTCTGCAAACTGATTCAACCCCCTGAACAATAGACAATGAGGAGATTGTGTCCTAATTCCTTCTTTGTTTATTATTGCATGTGACTGATAGTGATCCTCTGGGCTCTGATTTACAGATGAGCAGGAGGCAGTGCAGAAGAGGACGTTCACAAAATGGATAAATTCCCACTTGGCAAAGGTAAGAGTCTTGTTAATTCCCACTGCTAATGCCAACACTGTGTTGTCCCTTGGCACAAAAAAATGCTGCAGATGTTTGTCAATTAAAAACTTCCCCATCTCATTGTTTTTTTTTCACTTTGAATCACCCTGCTCTTCTATACTCCCCACACTGTACTCCCTATGATGTTTACTTCATTTCAAAAGCACGCTGTGAAGCTGGTCATGAGACTGACTGTGCTAGTTAAGACCCCACACTAGTACGCACGCACGCACGCACGCACACACACACACACGGCATTACACATGGCAATGAAGGATTGGAGGAATAGGAGAGTCAGGAAAGTATGACTGACTCTCCTATTCCTCCAATCCTTCATTGCTTGTAGCCAGGATTTTCTCTCATTGTAATTATGACTTTCACATTACAGCATTAAATATGGTGTTTATCTTATTAACATCAAGCTACTCCCAGACTCTAAGTCTTAGTAGCATATAAGCTTTCTATCTCAATATGGACCAATTTTAATTGTTCAAATGAGTTTTCATTTAGAGACTGCCCTTCAATTATCCCCTCAGTCAGCCTGCACAGCAGTATATCAGTAACTTAAAGTAAACAGTTATACTTGATGCAGCTGCATGCAGAGGGACCATCAAATCCGTGTAATTATGGTATACTACATTACTCTCATCAATTCAACCTATTTCTGCTTGAATAGAGTGTCAGAAACAGGGTGGGTAAGGCAAATATGGCATGGGGTAACACAATCAAGTGTTATTTTGATCTGAAACGCTCCTCTCAAGGTTTCCTATTTGATTTTATCAGCTGTGGAGGCCTTGAACCACAGTGATGTGGAGCAGAAAATTCATTTGAAAAGCACTCAAGAGGAAATAAATCTTGACGTAATTTGAAGTATCACACCTCAAGACCATGCCCACAGAAAATTACATCTAGTCTCATACTAACATGCCCTGAATTTGTTGGTGACGTTCAATGTAAACACATAGTTTATTCGTTGAATTTTTTTATGCGATGTGACACATTCCTTGTGCTGTTTCACATTCCTTGGTCAATGGCAGTGCTTGAATAAGGGGACCCACCCCATGAAAATGAATCTGAACACTGCAAGGAAAAGAAGAATAGTCAGTATTTTGAAAACTGCACTTGTCTGGTTAATACCTGCTTAACTGGAGTGTTTGTGCTGTAATATTACTTTCATCTTTTCTTGGTCTTGATTAGTTGCTTATCATTTGCTTCAAGCTGAGGAATAGTTCTGTCCATAAATAGATCAAATTTGCACTCACATTTAGTAACTTTTAAAATGTAAAAACATATATCCTTTCAATAAGTAATGATAATAATAATAATAATAATAATAATAATAATAATAATAATAATAATAATAAAACTACATTTTATTTTGGAAAGCGCTTTTCAAGGACGCAAAGACGCTGTACATGAATAAAAGCAAGAACAATAAAACAGATGAATATACAATAAAATATACATCAATATCAATAAAATCATGTAAAATCATGTAAAATCCAAGGAGGGGGGACTTATGGAGGATGAAAGGCAGTGCGGAAGAGGTGGGTTTTGAGAAGGGTCTTGAATCTGGTGAGGTCAGTGCAGTTTCTGAGTTCCAGTGGGAGTGAGTTCCAGAGGGTGGGGGCAGCGACTGAGAGGGCTCTGTCCCCCCAGGTTCGGTAGGTTGTAGGTTGTAATGGCATGCTAATTCTATTCATCAAAAACATTTTTTAGAAATAATGTTGGAATACAGATTTATAATGTGTCTCAGGCACCCTTTTAAATATATTCATAATAAAAAAAAGTCTCGTAAAGGAGTAAAACAATCAGGCTGAGTATATTCCCTCCCCACTGTGCCAAGTGAGCTGTAAGATAGTAGAGGGGCATTGACTTTGCAGTCAAAATATCCACAAAAGAATCAAAAAAGAATGTTCAAAAACGGAAGTATTCTGTTGGTTGCTTCAGTGGGCAATCGCTCGTATAGTGTCAGGTTAAGGGATCTTAGGGAAATTTGCATGGCTTTGAATAAGAATCTCTAAGTCTGCGTGGAGCTAACAGTGGCAGAGTTAGCACCACCATGCCTTCAGTCCTCCTGTGAGGTTTATGTCCACATACCTCTGCTGATTACAGATTGCTCCAATTTAGTGCTTTTGTGTCTGTGTACCAGACACAGCTTTCATACACCTTTATCTCCATTTCCTAGGCAAAAATACTACCTAACTGTACCAGCTAGGTGCAATCTGTCACCTGTGCTTGTTTACATCAGGTCAGTAGGGCACTGAAGTCTTATGGCAGTATAGTTATTTAACCACTCATAAGACCATAAAAGATAAAGACTGTATGTGTTAATAAGAGTCAATAGAAGCATAGTTATCTCATTTGTTATTGCTAATAACACACTTACAGGCTCTCATAAAAACTTATCAGCATGTTATAGTCATGAACATCAATAACATGTTATCAGTCTTTGTTAGGGTCAATTGACAATTAATTTACATATTTATTCATTTCTAACCCACTTCTAAGGGACCTAAAATCAATTGAATTTGGTTTTGTTAACACTTATTTACAAATAGCTGGTTATTAACTATCGATGAATGCTTACAATACAAAATATAACCAAATGGTTAATTTATTTAACTAACTTTTTAATTCTAGTACTGATTTGGAAGAGTGACAGTGTTTGATGTGGCTAAGTTGACTAAGCATGCACGTTTTTGGTCCCATTAACCCAAAGCTTTTAAACTAATGCAAAATTTCTGCATTAAATACACTGGTCAACTGTTTGGACAAAAATCCTCTAAATGTCATTTTAAATCCTCTGTAATAAACCAGTTCAGCAAATCGCTTAATTTGTGATAAAACAGTGATGGGGCCAGACTTTTTTTTCACTACTCAAGTTTATCAAATCAGTCATTCTCCTCCTCCTTGCTTGCCATGGAAAGGCTCGCCTTTTCAACTAATGCCTGACGTTGCCATAGTGATGCTGATTGGCTTATACAGTATTTTTCTTTTAGAATGTATTGGTTGTCATGGCTGCTCGGTTTATGTTCTTAGATATGATGTTATGAATAGTCAAGTCTTGCTGTGCAGAGGATCTGTTTTCATAAGGTGCTCATCCTGTAGACTCAAATAGATGAAACAGCATCTTTAGGTCTAGATTTCACAGTTGAAAATACTTAAAAAAGAGCTTTTCAAAAAGGGTCTCATGAGGTATAGAACGATAGCGGGGAGAAGCTTTACCAATTGGTTTAGCTCGTCTCTCAAAAGGATAGATCGTGCCCTTGGCTATGCAGATGATTAGGCCACTCTAGTTATCACTGGTCTTTAATTCAGTGCCTTAAGGTATGTGATTAATCATTAGGTGAGTTGAGACAGCGTAAGGGCTTCCTTTCACTATCAACCCCCCCCCCCCTCACTTTTCCACTCCACAGGTCTAACAAAAGAAATCTTATAAGCTCAGACAAAGAGTTTTTATGAGAGGATGTACTGAAGCTGGTAATTTATACAGAAGATTAATGACTCTTATTACTTGGAGTAGTTCACCAGATTAAGTCACTATTTCTAGACCTAAGGAATAAACTGTAAGAGAGCTGCAGGTCTGTCTGTATCTTTGCAGGTTGTTTCCTTTATTTATGTAGACAGTAATTTTGTTAGGGACCTGCAGTTGCATGTGGTGTCAAAACATTGTGTCTTGTCTGCAAATTCTGCCTCCAATGGTATTTGTCTGTTTTGGTGGATATGAGGCTTTTAAGTTCTACCCTACACTGCAGTGGTGCGACAAGGAGGGAGAATTTAGTGAAAAGGGCCCCAAGTTTCATTCTAACAAATCCTCTCAGAGAGGGTTAAAGCTTAATTACGGAGTGGCCGGTGTGAGCAGCAGAGGTCTCTCCATCACTCAGGCATTTTCCAGGCAAACAGCTTTAGTACAGTAATCACTGAACCGAGTGTTCTTAGAGATTACAGCAGCAGCAGAGCAAAGCTTCTAGTTCCTTTCTCCTCCTGTACTTTTCTCATCCTATCCCACATCCATCATTTTTTTAGGAGGAGTAGAGACTGACACACTGCATGCACGCCAAATTTAAACCCAGCACATTATAGTGCATGCAGTATGGTTTAGCCAATTTGGCCGTGAGGATGCTTTGATAAATTTCAATTTTCAACCTGCCAACTGTGCTTTTAGTTTTCATTTGCTGCCTTCAGTAGTTACAGTATGAAAAAAAACAATGACTTGTCTTTTTGTTGGACAGTGGGTTGGCCAAGCTTAACAGTATTTTATATGGAAAGCAATGGATATGCAGACATCCATGATCCCATACCAGTGACTTTAATGATGTTGATTTTTTCTCTTATGCCATTGAACAGTTAATTTTTGATGAAACCTCTGAACAGCTGTTGGTGGATTGCCAAAAATATTCAGTTATAAGGATTGTTAGCTTTAAATTACTTGTATGTGTGAGTGTGTCTTGTTGTTCCTCTCTGTCCATCAGCTCTGAGATTTACTGGTGATCAGTCAGGGTTAATACCGCGCCTTGTTCAATGACTGCTTGGTCCAGCCTTCCCCCCTGGTCTGTTTTTTTGCACCAGTGTGCCTCACTCAATGTCACGCCTACAATAATGTCTGACTAGCTAGACATCACATGGCTGTGGGGCATAACTGTGCTGTAAATGCCACTTGTTATCATATGTGTCTAAGTGAGAAGAAACCATTTTGCTGTGCACTAGTTCCTCACTGTTTTACACCAGCATACCATGCCATTAGGTGACATTTTTACCAACCATCTTTTTAATTGAAAACAAGGTACAAAGAGACATTGATGTAAAGAGACATTTTTTTTTCTCAGAACATATAAACACATAAGCAAACACCCCACCCCCAACTCATCCTTCCTACAACGTCCAGTGCATCCCATTTTAAGGAGATTAAATAAGCTATTAAATAAATACATTAAAAAAAGAAAAAAAAAAGTGGAAGTAGGTAATTTGACAGTCGAGTTTAAGAGTAAATGAGGAGGCCATGCTTGCTTAGCAGCATCATGCATCACCCTTCAGGATGTAGTACTAGTGGATTTATGAGCTATAAGGGGGAGGGGGGGTTGTTTATGAAAGACATTATTGGGTTAGCAAGATGTGATGTATATCTATCTTTTTGTCTACTGCTACCATGTATGGAGATGCAGGTCAAGTTTGGTAAAGAGAAATAGGTACTTTGTCTGCAGGGGTCACCATATTCATCACTAACTGATACAAATCATAACCTTGTGAGGTTAAAAGTTGTATTCTGCCAAGAATAAAATTCAACCGTTATAAAGTTACATGTATACATCATTTTAGTAATGGACTACAGTATGCCCTTTA